GCACACCACCATACCAGGCTAATTTGTATTATTAGTAGAGATGGGGTTTCACCATGTTGGCTAGACTGGTCTTGAACTCCTGACCTCAGGCAATCTGCCCACCTCGGCCTCCCAACGTGCTGGGATTACAGGTGTGAGCCACCGTGCCCGGCCAAGTATCCCTTTTCTACAGCCTTACTAAACTAGCTACAAACATTTATTTTCCAATTTAGTTTTACTTTCAGTGCATATCAAAGTTATACTCTTCAGACCAACAAACTAACTTGAGGGCAAATTATATAGCTTTCCATATACCCTTTTTTCCTCAGGTGCTAATCAAAGGCTCTGAAAATGGATACTGCTTTAGTAATGTCTCCATTATTCTTAAAATGCTTATTTCTTTTGCTAGATGTAAAGATTTGGTGTTAACAAAAGTGGTTTTAATATGTAAATATGAATGAATGCCTTTAGTTTACCCTGTTTGTCTATTATTATTAGTCTGTTTTCATTTATCCTTCATAGAGGAGGATCCTTTCATGATCTTGAATACATTTCATTAGATACTGTTGCATTTTAAGAATGAAAATACAACTGTTTTCTGTCTTAGATTAATCCTGCTGCTGCTATGAGAAACTGAAAATCAAGAATGTGATGCACTTTTTACATTACTATATACCATACATATACCATAGGTTGCTTTGATACCTTTACTGTAGCACAGCCACTAACAAGAGTGAGTGAATTATAAAATTCTCTTTGGGAGGGAATCAGTACAAGTAACTAATTCTCAGCTGATATTGGCCTATGAAGGACAATAACTTAGGAATATAAGAATTCTGTTAATAGTAGTACACTTTTTGGCCTTAAATGTCTTCTACTACTGAAAATAGTTTAAATCTTAGCTTTGTTTCTATTACTCCCTCTCTCTGCCTCAGAAAGAGGAATTGGGAAGAATGGCTTAAAGGATGTGGTGTCATTGATTTGTTGCTGATCTTTTAGAAAACATTTGTCTATGTAAGCTGGGGACTTAATTTTGTTTGTATATAGAGAAGAAATAATGCTGCCCTGAACCAATCAGATTTAGTTTAAATCAAATCAATCAAAACTCCAACTATTCTGTTTCTCTTGTCTTTTTACTTAGCAAAGGAAAACTTTAGTAAGAATGCTACTTGACAAGAAGAAAAGTCATTTCTCAAGCACATACCCAAACTTGAAGGTGGTGATTGAACCCAAAATAATGGGTGGGAAACACCAAATGAGGTGGAGGAATATGAGAAAGATGTGTGGGCCAAAGCTATCTGGTTATATTTTGATGTTGCCAATATCGCAAAGCCAAAATTTTAATTTGCTTATTTAATATATTTGTTGGCCAGAGATCTATTTTTATATCAATGTGCCTTGCGTGTATATTAAAAAAAAAAAAGAATTGGAAAGGCCATGTAGTAATGCCTGAGATAGTTGATGGTTCTTACCACCTCACTAATTTTTATGCAGTATGAAATGCTCATTCTATTGCCCAACTGGTGCTCTCTGTTTAAAGTTATAGATCTTGTCAAACTGGAACTATTTTATAAGCTGGGGAAGTGATTTACTTTTTTTGTTGTATCTTTTTTGTTCTTAATCTATTAGTGGCTGTCCTGTAGTGGGAAATAATTAAAGGATTCTTCACTCTCTTTTCTTCTCCCCTCAGCACCTTCTTCAAGTAAACATTTCTTGTGTGCTTTGAAAAAAGTTTCAGCTTGCTGTCTCTTTTAGTGTTTTAAAGAAGTGTTATACAAAGCATTGTTTGCAAAATGTAGGGAGATAATGGAGTCCACTTTAATTTGGAATTCTGCGTGAGCTATGATCCAAGTTACCAGCTCTTTCCAACTTTAAAAATTTTGTTAAAAGCACCTTGCTTAGAAAATTTAAAATATTTATGTCTGCAACAATTGTCTCAAAATAATAAACTGTGCAATTCTTGTCATTAAAAAAAAAAAAGATCTGAATTCTCCCTAATGTGACTTGTTAGTTTCTCTCTGTATTTCCTGCCAGTGTAAATGTGAAAGCTTTGCTTGCATTACGTTTTAGAAATGCATTTTGCACACTCGAATTTTGCCGAAGCTCCGTGAAAAGGTTAGATCTAAGTAGATGAATAAAGCTATGCACATGTTTTGAAAGTTTAATTTGTGTGTCATTACCAAAAGTGACCGATTTGTCCTTATTACTTTGCTGTTCTTAGCTTTACCATCTTTGGAAACTTGGCTCAAAGTTATATAGGTCTGGGCTAGCTCATCAGTGGAACTAGGAGAGAGGAAAACTGGCACCTATTTTAATAAAGTTCAATTTAAACGAGAGCTTGACTTGTATCTATTAAAGGGCTTTTCTTGAAACAGGGCAGTTTTATCAGCTTTACAAATCATTGGATGCTCTTCCTTAGTAATATTTTGGTTTATTTGATCAAATAGAAATGGAAAGTAATTCAAACTGAAAGACCCTTTTTTGTCACATGGAACTTGGTGACAATTTTATGTCTTAAAGCTGGTTTAAAGGTAGGATAGCCTTTTACTTTTATTGCTGTTGCATAAATTTGGTTTACTGAATTGACTGGCTTGAGATTAGAATTATTCAGTTGTTTGTAAGATCAAAGCACAGGTGGTTTTAAAGATAACATGTATCTTTTAAAAAATTGTCCAAGCTAATTAGAACAAGTTTAGAAATTGGGTACATTTGGTTCAAGTGCTGCAATGTGCATGTACTAAATAGCTTTACTTTGTGTGTATGTGTACTTATAATGTATAGATGTACTGCCCAGGTTTTGTCAAATCATCTTTTTTAAAGCTTTTTTTTTTAATAGCTTCAGGACTTTTGTAGGAGAGGCTAATATGTTTAAGTAGAAGATATTACTGATGGTATTTTCCCCGTGTTCCTACATATAAAATAAATATTTCCATTTTATAGCTTTTTCAATGTACAGAAGAGGGTTACTTCTTCATCAAGTATGTTGCCTTTGAGGACACAGCAAAACCCTTCTATATGTATCTTCATTGATAGTGGCAGTTAAAAACGAAGTCATCCAGTTAAGACTCGAAAGGTGACCCATAATTAATTGCATGGCCTTAAAAGGCAGAAATGCAGGAGTGTAGCAAGCATCATCTTAGATGGCTATGGTTCCTCTTCCGCATCTGTCAGTAGTTCACTTATGTTCAGTCTTAGAACCTATTGGAAAAGCAAAGTAATTTCTCTGTCTTGTGCAGAGGCACTTAGGAGCTGAGTTACATCCTAATCTAGGGGAATGGATGATAAATGGAGTACAGTTATGTTAATGGATGTTTTCCCTTCCCCCTCTCAAAAAAAGTTTCAATGTTTGTTTTGCCCAGTCAAAAATATAGGTCTTTTCTAGATATAAGAACAGTGACCAGAAATTTTCCCTTTTGCTAAATGCTTAGGTATTTGCTATAGCTGTTTCTGATGTCATGGATTCTGAGGAAGTGTCAGTTACGTGATGATCTTCCTTTATTGTTGTCTTACTTCATCATGTTCAGTGTTTTAAAAATATAAATTACAAACACTCTACAACCATACCCAGATTTACTTATTTTATCAGAAAAAAAAACTTGAGAAATTTGTAGATCAAATTGAGAGACAATAAGTGTACATTGTTGAATAAAAAATTTTAAAGTTTCTGAGGTGTTTGTTATCTTTTGTGTGCTTTAATTTTTTAAAAAGTCTTTACTGACGAATCTTAAATTCAGCTGATAAAAAGTAAAAAAAAAAAAACCTGAAAACTAAGTTTGTGATATTGATAATGATTTTTTTCCAAAGGGTCAAATATGTGAAGAATTTAAGTCTTAACGTGTACTATGGTCCTATGAATTTTTTTTTTTTTAATCATAGAGGTTTTTACAGTGCTTAGAATTAGCTTGCTTATTGAAAAATCCAGAGCTATCCTGCCTTTTTGCAGGACATTAAGTCTTATGCTTTTCCAGTTGAAATAAATCAAAATTGAGCTAAGCAGTTAAGCAACTAGAATGTTAAGCTGCCAAGATTCTGAATTTATTCATAACTTTATGTTGAAATATGTGGCAGTACACACTGGAGAAACTTCCTGTTTCTATAGTACTGATTTGTCACAAGGTGAAAGGAAAATCAATGCCAACTTCAGCATTATTAGAAAGAGCAGGAGACGGGAGGAAAGGACATAAAAACATTTACCAAAAGTGTCAGTCACTATAGAGATTGATAACATTTAGGTCATATGCTTTATTGTTCTTTGAGATAAGGAATAATTGTCCTTGGCCTGGTAAGTGACTTGCAAGGACACAAGGAGAATGTGGAGTTTTATGGAAGCTTAACTAAAAATTCTCATCCAGGCAGGCGCAGTGGCTCAACACCTGTAATCCCAGCACTTTGGGAGGCCACAGTAGGTGGATCACTTGAGCCCAAGAGTTAAAGACCAGCCTGGGCAACATAGCGAGACCTCATCTCTACAAAAAGTACAAAAATTAGCCAGGCACGGTGGCAGGCGCCTGTAGTCCCAACTACTCAGGAGGTTGAGGCAGGAGGATCACTTGAGCCCAGGAGATCGACACTGTAGTTAAGCCAGATCGCACCACTGCACTCCAGCCTGGGTGACAGACCCTGTCTGAACAACAAAAATTCTCATCCACAGGCCGGGCGTTGGTGGCTCATGCCTGTAATCTCAGCACTTTGGGAGGCCGAGGCGGGAGAATCACCTGAGGTCGGGAGTTCGAGACCAGCCTGACCAACATAGAGAAACCCCATCTCCACTAAAAATACAGTAATTAGCTGGGTGTGGTGGTGCATGCCTGTAATCCCAGCTACTCGGGAGGCTGAGACAGAATCTCTTGAATCCGGGAGGCGGAGGTTGTGGTGAGCCGAGATAGCGCCATTGCACTCCAGCCTGGGCAACAAGAGTGAAACTCCACCTCAGAAAAAAAAAATTCTCATCCACATAGGTGTGATTTATGTGAAGCATGGTAGTTAATTCAGTCTACAAAGTTTTGTTTTGTTTTGTTTTTAATGACGTTTATTGTGGATTTCAGCAGCTAACATTTGAAAGCAATGTCTGTGAGCAGAACATAAAACTCATTCTAGAGTGCTTAGCAAGGTCTCATGCTTGAGGAATTATCGTACTTGGAGCTTTTAATCAGCTACTGTTGGATTCGGCGAATCGATTGGATCTGGGAAGTCTGGGCATGAGATCCCCACTCTCTCCAATGTTTATAGTCTCCTCCGTGATGGTCACATTCCAAGATATACTGATACCCACGATATCCAGGATATTGGTAGCAAACCCAGCTGGGAAATTCAAAGTACATTTCATTATTAAAACTAATTAGGAATCTGGTTAACACCCCAAAATCTGAGCCTCTTTCCTCAACTTAATGGTATGGGACGCTTTTAGTCTTAGAAAAATATAGCCATCCTAAATGTGTCAGGCACTATTTGCAAGCATAATACAGCTACAGCTAGTTGATTAGCCTTAATCATCAAAAGAGGTATAAGTGAACATAAATTCTTCCATAGAGGCATGTCTGGGGGAGATAAATCTGCAACCTTAAGTGGTAGTTGGTATAAAGAACTTGTGATTCAAAATTATGTATAACTAGAATGTGACATCTATACCAATACATATGAAATCTGATTAAAACAACCATTGATGCAACTTCAGGAATTACTTTGAAGTGTATTCCAACCCTGTTTTTGTACTTACGCCCCACTTTGTATCTTCATGGAGCCGACTTCGTTGTTGGGCCAACCCATGGCTTGCAAGGAGGGGTAGTCATCAGAGATCTCCCACTGGCGTCCAATAAAGTTTTCCTTCTCAAAGATGGTCATCTTAGACTCCTTATGATTCTGTAATTCAGAAATTGTTTTAAAATGTTCAGTACTAGTGCTATGGCTATCATTCACGTTTTTCAAAATTGAAACACTTTTTTGGATTACTCAAGGAAGCACGTGATAATTTATTTTAAAAAGATTAAGGCAACAGATATGTGAGAAAAAAGTTACCCATAATTTTGTTTATTCCAATTTAAATACCATAACATTTGGAATGTACAAATAACTGATATACTATTTTGGAACAATGAAGAGGATTTGACAGTGGGAAAAAGTACTAACAAAATGCAGCCAACCAAGGGATGAATACTCACTAATGTGAAAAAAGATCTCACAAATTAATACAAAAAGTAAGCCCAAATATGTATGTGTGCGCTTGCGTGTGTATGTGTGTTGTTGGAAATAACCTGTATGTCCAGTAGGGGACATGAATACTACACAAGCATTAAAAAGGCAGAGACCAACCTGTATGAACTTCAAAAATGGACAAAACTGTTTGATGATAGAAAGTGGTAGGGGAGCAACTGAGTGGAAAGGGACACCAGGGAACTATGATGGAATGTTCTTTATATGGTTAGAGTGTTGGTTACATGGATCTATATATTTTCAAAACTCATGAGAATATGCACTTAGGATCTGTGCATTTTACTGTAAGTCAGTTATACCTTAGGGTGGAAAAATGAAATGTTTTTTTAAAAGTGAGATTGAATTAATTTCCAGATAGGGAACTATTTGTTTGGATTAGAGCTATTTCGGTTAACTTCTCCATCAGTTGAATTTTGGCAAGACTTTGAACCAAGATGAGATTATTAACCAAAATCACGAGAAACTCACATATAGACTGAATATTTGGAAAGGTTCTAGCCCAACCTAACTCCTAATACAGAGATCATTTTTCAGCACACCCCTGAAGATCATCCTGCTTTCTGCTTGAACTCTTTCCAAAAAAGACCAGAAACATCCCAGCCTGATGCATTATTGAGTAATACTTAAGTGTTCAGAACAAGAAGATGATTATCAATGAATGTAGATAGATAATGGAAGACTTGCCTATTTTTTAGTCATTCCCACTTACCGAAAGGTTACTTCAGCATTTCCCTGTTTCTGCGGTAAAATGTTGCACAGATTGAAATTTAACTGGCCAAGGATTTGCTTTTTACTACCGGGTAAAGACTTTCACTCATTTACTAGTGTTTCACAAGTTTATTGGGCTTTTGAGTATCCACTTATTGCCACCTGTAAGACCCTTAGTTTTAGCTTAAGGGAAATACCACCTGGTGGAGAAAAATCAAATAGCAGGCTTAGAGGAGAAAGTGATGTTTTCTCTTTTCTTTGCTTTTGTCTTTTTTCCTGCCACATTCAGCATAACTGATGAGAAATAGCATGAACGTCAGTCTGTCCACACCCTCTTGTCCCATCCCTCATATGCACAGAAGTGGAAATTTCAGAGACTCACAGCTGAACAGATGGGGCGGAAGGACATGAGACGCTCAATGTGGTAGGCATTACTCCCACTCCAGGCATCCCAGCGAGGGTATTCTCCTCTCTCCAGGATAAACTGTTGCCCACAGAAGCTGGTATGCTCATAACCAATCCAGCTGCCAAAGACATGTAGTGTTTGTTCATGGTGTTCAAAGCCTATATGGCCTTGGGGAGAAGGCATCTTTCGTTTTAGATAAGTTAATAGTGGGGTAAAATATCAAGCCAATCCCAGTAGAGCTGTACAAAGTAATTTATCACAAGAGGTGAGGAATGAGTTGACAGGTATACTAAGCAGGTTTATGAGTGTAATATTTGTTTTGGGATTATCACTGAAAAGGTCTGTCTACTTCACTGGTCTGACTGAAGTGTATTAGCAAAGCCAATCTAAAATGGTATTTCCGGGCTGGGTGTGGTGGCTCACGCCTGTAGTCTCAACACTTCAGGAGGCCAAGGCAAGCAGATCGCTTGAGCCCATGAGTTGGAGACCAGCCTGTGAAACATGGCAAAACCCCGTCTACAAAACTCAAAAATTAGCCAGGCGTGGTGACACACTACTGCAGTCCCAGTTATTCAAGGGGCTGAGGGTTGAGCCTTGGAGGTGGAGGCTGCAGTAAGCCATGATTGTGGCACTGCACTCCAGCCTGGGCAACAGAGTAACACTTTGTTTCAAAAAAAAAAAAAAAAAAATTTTTTTTTCTCCATACCTGGTTCACGATCTGGTGACTGACTATTGCAAGCTTGTCCAACCTGTGGCCCAAGGGCTGCATGCAACTCAGGACAGCTTTGAACACAGCCCAATACAAGTTTGTAAACTTTCTCAAAACATTTTGAGTTTTTGTTGTTGTTAGCTCATCAGCTCTCGTTATTGTATTTTATATGTGGCCCAAGACAATTCTTTCAGTGTGGCCTAGGGAAGCCAAAAGATTAGACACCCCTGGACTATTGCTTTGGCTCAAGCCAAACCAGTTGACTTATTCTTAAGAAAGCACAGGGATGAACAAGCAACTGATGGATTACTAGTCTCTTTTTTCCTGTGACTTGCAAGTTCTTTCTCCTAGTGCCCCATACTTATACTTAAAACTTGAAACACTCAGTTCAGTTTTTCACAATTGGGTCTCAGTGATGACACCTTAAAGTGTTACTTCTTTCAAAGGACTGAAGAGCTTAATATTGGTGGCAAGCAACTTGTGGAAGCCTATCCACATGCAAGGCCAGTTCTGCCTAGTCAAGGGCGAGTCTTTTCCTTAGGTGTTTTCAGGCTAATGATAAAGGCCTCAACTACTCTGCCAAGAGTCAGAGGACAAAAATGAGAAGGTCTCCCTCACCAAGATTAACCATCAACAAGAAACTGCCTGAAAGATGAATCAGGAGCTAATATGTCTCTGGAGTCATGGGGTTAAGGTTTTTTGTTTTCTTTTTCATAAAGAAATTAGCTAACAGTGTCTGCTCTGGGACATGCAGGAGGAGAGTTAGCCATAGAGGCAGCCACTTGACACTTTCTTCTTTACCAATTTTCTGCAGGCAAGAAAAACTCAAGGGTCTTGTGGCTGTTCTGAGGGCACCCTAGGTAGCAGCCTGTGAGCCCCAGAAGCAAAAATTTGATTACTGCCACTGCCCCACCCCATTGTATGTATTTCTTTATCCAGCCCCTGAAATCTAGTACCAGGCCTAAGAACCTCATGTTCCTTTTAGCTTTGGCTTACTAAATTATGCATGTAGTGATTTCTTTTGAGGCCTCTCTCTGAGAAATGACTAGAGCCTAGGGGGACATCCTTCTTCCCCTATCCCCACTCTATGGTCCCATGTCTGAAGGGACTTGAAATAAGGGACTGTGGTTCTACAGAGATCCATACTCACGCGCCACATTCCACCTTGAGGGACCGGACATTATCAAAACTGCGCTCAGAGACATTTGGACAGGAGCTGGTGAACTCCATCCTCTTGCCCTGAAAGTTCTCCTGATCATAGATGGTTATCTGAAATGAGATTGAATGGCACAAGAGAGCTAGAACCTGGTACATCAGGAAAAACAGAGGCCCAGGTCAACAGCTTAATTTGTGTCTGACTTGGTGCTCTCTGTTACCAGCTGTAGCCTGGGATGTCTGATGAGGTATCTTCCAGTGTAGACAGGGCAGGAAGGGGTCTGAATTAATGCCACTGGTTGGTGTTCATTTGCCCAGAGTAGGGATGACGTGGAGGGAGGATTGGTTTATTGTAGAAATGGTCTGAAGGGATAACAGCTAGACCAATGGACAGGCCAAGGACTTATGGGCTCCCATTCCACCACAGTTCCTTCATAAGCATGGCCCAGAGGCCAGGATTCTGGGAGTCCCAGGAGTTCCTTACAGATTCTTAGCTTCTCCAGCCACACCCCCATAGAAACCTAGGGTGTAAAGGAGAGTTATGGTCAACCTTTTTGCACTTTGAACTAAAACCTGGCTTGTGGACCTGGCCAGAGGACCACTCCCAAAGCTGTGAGTTGGCCTCAGAGTTGACCCAATGAGGAGAATGGGGAGTGTTGGAGAGAGGCCAGTGAGAGGCCTGAGGATCAGCCACTTCAGCCAATGGTTAAAGCCAACCTCAGGCTGGGAGGCTGAGTCTTGTAATTGATTTGGGATCTAGTAGTAAATCTCTTTATGGGCCCTCATTTTCTCCATGGATATAATCATTGCTGGGCTGCTGTATTTTAAGATGACTTTAGTGGGAAGGAGAGAGGAGTTAGGAAACTAGGTATCATCTCCCACCCATCATTGGCGTCCAGAGTCATCCTTCCTTTGTCCAACAGGACATCCTGAGAGATCCTTCCTTCGACAGCACTGGAGCTTGTGTGGACCTTTCCCCTACAAACTGGGGTTTTTCTGGTCAGTCACTGCTTCATGGATGAGCACAGGCTTGGGGCCTGCTCTGTGCAGCATCTCACCCCTGCCCTGTTGGATGTGATGGGGGTGGGCTTACCTTCCATGGCCCCAGGGACCCCTGCGTAGGGTTGGTCTGAGCCATCTTCGTGGTTGGAAGGGTTTCTGGAAGACAGAGCACACATGAATGAGGTGGCCTCTGGGGAGGAGGGTGAGGTGACGGAATGCCTTGAAAGGTAAAGGAGACTTGAAGTCTACAAGACAGACTTTGGTTGGAATTCTGGCTCTGCCGCTCACTAGCTGTGCCTTGGGATTTTTGTTGTTGTTGTTGTTGTTGCTGTTTTGAGACAGGATCTTGCTCTGTCATCCAGGCTAGAGTGCAGTGGCACAATCTCACTTGACTGCAACCTCTGCCTCCTAGGCTCAGGCGATCCTCCTGCCTCAGCCTCCCATGTAGCTGGGACTACAGGCATGCACCACCATGCCCGGCTAGTTTTTGTATTTTTAGTAGAGATGGGGGTTTCACCATGTTCACCAGGCTGGTCTTGAACTCCTGACCTCAAGTGATCCACCCACCTCGGCCTCCCAAAGTGGTGGGATTACAGGCGTGAGCCACCGCACCCAGACTGAGCCTCAGTTTTTCCATTGGTAAAGCTTCAACGTGCAGAGTTATTGTAAGGATCAGAAACAATAGGCTGGGCACAGTGGTTCACGCCTGTAATCCCAGCACTTTGGGAGGCTGAGGCGGGTGGATTACCTGAGGTCAGGAGTTTGAGACCAGCCTGGCCGATGTGGTGAAACCCTGTCTCTACTAAAAATACAAAAATTAGCCGGGTGTGATGGCACACACCTGTAGTCTCAGCTACTCGGGAGGCTGAGGCAGGAGAATCACTTGAACCTAGGAGGCGGAGGTTGCAGTGAGCTGAGATCTCGCCACTGCACTCCAACTTGGGCAACAGAGTGAGACTCCATCTCAAAAAAAACAAAAGGATCAGAAACAATAATGCAGGTAAAGCACTGACAAGCATTGTAACCCCGTCCTCTCATTTGCTTTCAGGTGACAGCATTGCCTCTGTCCGCAATATAAACTCTTTGGCAACCGCCTAGCCCAGACCCCTCATGTGACTGGCCAAACAGCAAGCCATGCCAGGATCCCAAGCTCCAAACTCCCTTGTAACCCTTCACGGTCTCATCCTTATCTGGCTCCTTTCTTTCTCTCTCTCTCTCTCTTTCTTTCTTTCCTTGGAGTATTTTTGTATTTTTAGTAGAGACAGGGGTTTCACTATATTGGTCAAGCTGGTCTGGAACTCCTGAGCCACCGTGCCCGGCCATTCCTTTCTGCTTTTCTATCTCCTAGGTCCTACCCAACCTTGACCTTGCCTCCTCAGATGCTTTCCTGCCTTCTCCAGCCCACAGCCACTTGCCTTCTTTCTTGATTTCTGGCACTCATCACAGTACCAATCTGTATTCTGGTTGTTGGGTGTCCTGGTGAGCACCTCAATGGCAAGGCCTGGGTCTTCTAGGGGATTGGTATAGCATCGTGCTGAGCACATGTGGGGATGAGGGATTGGGAGACATTGAAAAAGACTTATTGAAGGAAAGTGAAGAAGAAAAGAGTTACAGTAGTTAACACTCAACAATGGCTATCTACATGTCTGGCCCTGTTTTAAATGCTTTACCTGCATTCACGCATTTAATCTTCACACAAAGCCTATGAATTAAGAATCATCATTATCCCCATTTTACAAATGAGGATACTGAGGCTCATAGAGGTTAGGTAGACAGTAAAGATGGTAGGATGAGTTTGAAAAAAGGAATCACAGAGCAAGAAAGAGGAAGGAAAAGAGCGGGGGGGAAGGGAAGAAGGAAGACAGGCAGGTGTGTATTAGGTGTCTTGACTTAGGACAGATATTCATGGCCCTCCATCTGGCTGGTATCGGGCCCAGGAATGATGCGTGTAAACTCTGTAATATATCTTTCCATTCTCAATCTCTGAATAAGCAACATTTCCCAGGTCCTGCCCCCATACCTTCTCCCTGCTCATTTCTTGGGGGCTCATGCCCACCCCCCAGCCTTGGTTGCTAGGGCAGTGGTTATTGCTATATAAGTGACTCCTCTTGGGATGACAAGAGAAGGCTGCCTTCCGCCAGAGTTCCCCAGTCTTCTCCAGCCACCCTAGAAGGCTCTACACACTAGGCAGGAGAACTGGGCCCTCTCCTGGTCATGTCTCTGCAGGGCAAGGAGAGGAAGGGCAAGGGCACCCTGAGGGCCTTACTCACCCAGCTCCTGCTGCACAGTCTGGGTCTCCATCTGGTGCCACTTGCTCTGTGGCCCCCCTCTTTATAGCCCTGTGGCCTCTGGCCTCTGGCCCTGTCAGCACTCTGTTGTCCCTCTGCCTTTGTTCCCCCTGATCCCCAGAGCTTTGGTGGCTCAGCTTGCTGGGCAGGCATCCCTTGGGCCTTTGTTTAAACCAGGGATACAGAAATCCAGAGAGGCCCCTCTGTTGTGGGCATGGCTGGCTGCTGCAGGCCTTGGCTGCTCTAGTCTTTCTTAATCTTAGAGCAGCTAGGGGGTGAGAACAGAGGTCTCTGCCATGAGTATTTGTCTCTTGTCCTTCTCCAGGTTCCTCACACCACCTTAGGATCTTCCTAAGACCCTGGGAGACCCCATGTCATATCAAACACATCAAAATGCACCTCACTTCCATACAGGATATGCATTTCTTGTTGTTTAAAAATGTGAAAGAATTATTATAATTCTGAACTCTATTGAGAAAAAATGGTTCATTGTATTCTTGGGAATCTTTTTTATGCTGTATTTATATATAACTATGTAAGAGTTGACTTCAATTGTAGTTGACTAGCAGACATGAGTCTCTCTGTAGCTATTTTATTAAATATTCCTTTTACTTTTGTAATTTTCTTTTAAAATTTTGGAGCTATAACTTTTGGGGTTTTTAAAAAAGAATTAAACCATTTATTGAATAACTCCTATATATTAGACATGTGTTAAATGCTTTACTTGAAAGGTTTGAATTAAATACTTTTCCACAAGAAAAGAAAGAAATACTTTCCCACAGCCACCACAACAGTGCTATTTTCACCTCTTTTCCAGATGAAGAAACTAAGACAGAGAACGATCAAGTGACTTGCCTAAGGTCACAATATTTATAATGGCAGAGCCCAGACTCAAACCCAGTTCTAAAGTCACTGCCCTGCACTGGCCCTCCCTCAGGAGTAATGCATAAATGGCCCAAAAAATTCCGGGAGAGGAAAGAGACCTCCCTGGCTAGAACTGCAATTCTGAATATAAACACTGAGCACATAAGGGTTGCAACTTTATCTGTTTCAAAAGGGGAAGGAGCCTAGAAATGAAGCAATTTTTCCTCCTCAAATTACCTTGACTGCCTGTCCCTTTGTCTTTAATGTTAATTCCTTTCACCGTTCTGCTCCCAAACAGGCCAGCTCCCATGTCAGTTCCAGGAGGAAAGGGCTCTTTCAGCCTGCGGGCCATCGTTGGGCAGCAGTAGGAAGGGGAAGAAGGCAACCCTCTGAATACCTCCTCTGGACTCACCATCTAGATGTGAAGGGTTCACCTGCTCCATCTCAGATTCCCAGGGGCCTTCCTGTGACGTTGTCTAGGCAAGTGGTGATAGGGACCTAGATGTCCTTGCTTCTCCCCTCTAGCTCACCCAGGCCAGGGGCGAGAATTTCTGCCATCCACGCCTTCAAAACCAATTTTTTTTTTTTTTTTGTATTTTTGAGACAGAGTGTCGCTCTGTTGCCCAGGCTGTAGTGCAGTGGTGCAATCTTGGCTCACAGCAACCTCTGCCCCCCAGGTTCAGGTGATTCTCCTGCCTCAGTCTCCTGAGTAACTGGGATTACAGGCACCTGCCACCATGCCCAGCTAATTTTTTTGTATTTTTAGTAGAGACAGGGTTTCACCATGTTGGCCAGGCTGGTCATGAACTCCTGACCTCAAGTGATCTGCCCACCTCGGCCTCCCAAAGTGCTGAGATTACAGGTGTGAGCCACCATGCCCAGCCAATTTTGAAGTTTTACTGTATTGTTTTAGGTCTTTGGAAATCTCACAGGCCCAAGTTACTATGTATATAGTACCTTAAAGGGTAAAATGACTTCTCCCCAGAAACTTCAGCACATTTGATGAAGGTTAGGTAGGGGAATCGTGGGCCTCCCCAGGGGCCCTGAAGAGGCAGATGTGTTCTTCAAGCATCACAGATATTGTGAGAAGCAAGAGGCTGCAATGGATGTGGAGGTCTTTGAGCCAGGCAGATGTGGGTTCAAATCCCAGTTTCTTGGCTGGGAGATTTGAACAAGTCACTCAGACTCTCTCAACTTCAAAAATAGAATATCTGCCTGATACATTGTAGGCTTATGATTCCTTACCCTACTCTCTTTCTAATGACAGATACTATTGAAAATTTCATAGCAGCTTGGAGAGAAGAAGAAAGTTCTCCCATTTCCTCTGCAGCCCCCGACTCAAGTTTCATCAGTGCCCCCTTTTTTTTCAGAACCAAAAATAAGGGGGTGAGGTCTGGTATGTATTCAAGTATTTGCAGATTTGGGCAGAACATTCCAGACCAGGTGTGTCCAATGTTTTGGCTTCCCTGGGGCACATTAGAAGAAGAATTATCTTGGCCCACACATAAAATATACTAACACTAACGATAACTGATGAGCTTAAAAAAAAAATTGCAAAAAAAAAATCTCATACTGTTTTAAGAAAGTTTATTAATTTGTGTTAGGATGCTTTCAAAACTGTCCTGGGCCACATACCACCTACAGGCTGCCAGTTGGACACACTTGCTCTTAGACATGTAAGTCTGATGCTAAGCATGGCACATTGCCCCAAGGATGTTTCTGATGCCTTGATTAACTCATGATGTCTGGACGGATGTCTGGCAGGGGACAGAGTTGCTTTTGGTATCATAGCATGCTCTGGCCACCTGGTGGCTGTGCAAGGGCTTAAAGCACTAGCTGTCTATGGTTGGTGATTCTTCTTTCCTTTCCCTTCTCTTCTTCCTTTCCTCTCCCTTCTCTTCTTCCTTTCCTCTCCAGAATTAGGGTCTTCGGGAAACACTCATTTAGTCATTTTTTCAATCATCCACTCTTAGGCTGGCTTAGGCCCTCACGGTGTGTCCTCATTGCATCCTGTGCTTTTCCAGTTACACAAAGTCACATTGATCATGCTGCAGAAATTGCTTTAGGAACTAGAAGTACTAGTTTCCAAGGGTTCGGGGGAACTGAGGCACTTGGGGCTCAGATAAAGGACAAGACTTTTCATAGTATATTTTTCTGTAATCTTTAAATTTTGAACATTGAGAACATATTTTCTATTAAAACAAAGTGATT